CTAAAAAAAAAAAAAAAAAACTAATACCGCTACTCGCGTAAGCGTGAGTTGATTAGTGAGGAGCGAGTTTGTATACCGCAATATAACGATTGATAAGAATCACCTTGAATCTATAATCATACACAATATACTATATTCATTTCTGCACTCCACGAAATTTTTTTACAATTTTTTAAATTGTATTTTCTAGTTGTTTTTATAAACTCAATGAAAACTTAGCATTTATTTGATAATAAACAATGGTTATTTTTAGATTCTAATATCTACATAATATTTACGTTTTTTTTTTTTTTCAACATATAAAAGAAGGCAAGTTTAACAATGATAATAGTATTACCATTAAAAATAGTAATACAATTCAGCTACTATCATTCAATTCTTTATTACAACTTACAGTTAGTTTATAAGGCCACTTAATACCGTTTCATGTTTATTTTTTTTTTAGTTGTGGAAAATCACAAACCTCTGCTATCAGTCTGAAAAACAGATTAGTTCGAAGCTTGCATAAGGCACATAAATTTGATCACAATATTAACAATCATTTGCTACAAAAGATATTTAAACGTATGTAACATCAGTATAATATTTATATGTCCTCAGAATTCTCAGAATGGAAAACATATTCTACTATAAATTTCAAATACTATTATTAAAGTCCCAAACAAGAGCTTACTATAAAAGAGGCATTACAATTTTTTTAGATTTTTAATTAGACTTTCATGAAATTCATTTAACAACAAATGTAACTAAAAACTAATTATTCATTTAATAGAGTACATTTTAGTTCAAATACGTATCGACTCAAATATCCAGATTTAAACTAATATAAGAGCTAAAAACTTTTACTTTATCTGTATTTGAATATGGTCCCAAAATGTTGGAATATTTTTCACAATTTAGCCAAATGGCTGAGTTGTCACTGTTTTTTAAGCTCTTTGATGATTAAATATTACAAATAAATATTTATAAATAAATGACATGAAAACGTAAAACTCTCAAAACATTACATTATTCAATTAACGAAGCCTGCAAGTAAAGACTATTGACAGGCAATGCTTTATAAAACGCTAAAAATATGTTAAGAGCAAGTTATGAATATTTTAAATGGACCACATAGACGGAAACAATAAAGTAATTAACAGACACATGTGTTTTAGGCACTAACGGGAGATGATTTGATGTTTTCATCTGACTCGTTGGTTTCAATAGTATTCTCATACATTAAAATTTTTAGGTACTGAAGCCTTACATATAGAAAAGAAAATTTCAACTAAGTATAAAATATTAATATACACNTATACCTATAGTGATTTTTTATTTTTTTATTTTTATTTTATTTTTTAAATTTTACTCACACAATACTAGCTGGTTCCTTTATACGATGGAAGCGTGTCGATATGCTCGATAGCAGCAAAAAGACCGACACGAGGTCGATCTCGAAGTTGACTCTTACGCTGGTCGGTGATTTATCGCTCGGTTGGGCCCGACTTTCTTCCTCGTCTTTGGTTTTTCCATTTCTCTCCACCGATTTTTCCGCTTTTCCGCTCACCTACGTTGGCATATGTATATTATTCATCATCGAAAAAAAACAAACTATGTTCGCATTTTTTTTAAACACAAAAATAAAAAATAAAAACATTCAAGAGCAATACTAACTTTTTTCTCCATCGTTAACTCGACGACTGCGATCCGTCAAGTCCTGAACTATTATACATTTGTGCGTGGGTGTATGCGTATGTACATAAGCAGAGAGCGGGACAAGAGAAATCAGGCGTCGTTGTGCACACACAAAAAAAAAGAAAAAAAAAAAAAAAAAAGAAAAAGAAGCACCGAATCAACCGCGGAATGTAACCTAATCGTGACTGCAGAGTTGAAACGATTTTTCTCAACTGGCGCGCGTCCCTACTGCGAGATTATTATTTTACCATACATGCCGAGCTTTTCTTTTTCTCGTCAACTCCAAGCGTACGCACACCCAACGATTTAACTCTCAAACTCTTTGTATACACCCGATTGTAAACAGAGTATGCGATAAATCATCCTGAAGAGCGACAAGTACTTGGTGTTACAGCGTTGAGTGAAGTAAAAAACAAACAGTGCCTAAATATCGCATTTCACTCAAGCGATTCGAAGAAGCGATTGGGTTTATCTTTTTTCTTTCTTTTTTTACTTTATGATTTTTTTTGTTTTTTTGTTTCCCCCCCAACAACTTCAATCGAAGCAACGTAGAGGATTGAAGTAACGCACGAATATTGTACGCTTCGTCCGGGAAAAGGAGATGTTCCGCGGTAGACTGCCGAACCATTGAACTCTGCAGGCTGCTCCGCTCCTCCTCCTCCTCCTTTCTCTCCCTTCGCGTTTTGTTACACTCATTTGTACTCTCGCCTGCCAGCGGAGCTCTCCTTGCGAAGCCACGCTCGTGCAGCGCTCAAGGGTATAACGGTACATGCATTGCCATCGTGGCGCGACGAGGAAAACCACGAAATTTCACTCAGCCGATCGCGAGCCGGTCGATGGGGCCCTCCTCTCATTTTTGGGTGAAACGTGTACATGTAGAACGTCGCGTCGCGCGACTCGTCCAACCGGTCGTGGGGTACAAGTACACCCATTTAGGTATATACACATATGCATGTGTTAATACAGCCTGGTTCCATAAATACTTCGGTGTAGAGACCTATGAACTTTTCTATGGCACCTGTTAAAAGAGGATTCTTGGGTGCGTCAATGACAGGGTAAAGAGTCACCAACAGTTGCTCTGTTTTTTTTCTCACTGAATCATCTTTTTTTAATGCGTAAGGATTTACATTCTAATTGCTGGTAAAAAAATATATTGCGCGTAACATTACGAGCGCTATCGTGTACTATACAAAATATATAAAAATAGGATTTTCAAGATAATCGGTTGGTCTTAATTGTTAATTTTGAGGAAAAAAGTTGGCGTTTTGTACTTGCCGCGGAAGGTACGTCATTTCGGAGTCATTTTCGGGGCTGATCCTTACGCGTTTGCTTTCGCGATCTGAAATGTTTATTCAAATTTAATTAAAAAACATCGGAAAAGCTGAACGTTGAGTTGATTGTTTTTCTTTTTTACCGAAATCAAACTGCTGAGGCTTCCTTCTCAAGTGAAGAGGCACCGGAGGCTGGCAACCTTTGAAGCTGGACACGTACTTCTGGGCCGCTCTGAGAGCACTGTCGACCATGCGAGATTTCGGTGCCCTGGCTAAGTACGTTACACACTGGGCCAACGACAGATCGCATTCTGGCATCCCGAGCATTTTACAGGCTTGCATCGTGTTGACTGCCAAGCCTGGACATACGATACATATACATATACGACCGTGTCTTTGATTCTATCAATTGTACCTGTTGATACGTACCGAGAGCTTTTGGGTCCTCCATGCCGATATCCTCGCCCGACGCGCGTACCATCCTTCTCGCGATGTACACGGGATCTTCACCGGAGACCAGCATCCTAGTGAGCCAGTACAACGCGGCATTTTCATCGCTCGATCTGACGGATTTGTGCAGCGCAGATATCATGTCGTAATGCTGATCCCCTGTCCGGTCGTACAGCATGTGACTCTTTTTGAGACTGGTTTTTATGTCGTCCAAGGAAATACAACCGGGTGATTGGCAATCGTTTGCATTCTGAATTTTTCTCTCAATGGCTAATTCTAATCCCCCAAGGGCGATTCGGGCGTCCCCGTCTGACGTTTCTGCTAGCCAGTTAATCGCTTCTCTGTCTATGATGAATTTTTCACTGGCACGTGCAACCGTGTTTGAATTTTTGTGTTTCTGAAAATTAAGCATGACTTTTACATTTAAACCAGACGACTACGAGTTGTATCATGAATATTGATGAATGAATACTTTTTTTGACTTGTCAATAATTGATCCGTCCAAAGTCTTTACAGCTTGTTCCAAAATTATTGTTAAATTCTCAATGGACAGTTTTTCGAGAACTATAACTCGGCATCTGCTCAACAGTGCCGAGTTCATGGTGTAGGACGGATTTTCGGTGGTGGCACCAATCAGAGTTACAGTGCCAGATTCAATGTGGGGTAAAAAAATGTCTTGTTGCGTTTTGTTGAATCTATGTATTTCATCGAGAAATATGACTGTACGCCTCCCAAACTTCAGATCATTAGATGCCGTTGCGATCAGTGTCTTAACATCTGCTACACCCGACATTGCAGCAGAGAGCTTGACAAAACGATACTTACCACCGGGACAACGTTTGCATATATTTTCAATAACGTGTGCTAGGGAAGTCTAAAACAAAAATGAACAAAATTTTAAAAATCGATCCAGTACAATGATGAAAGAGTGATAAAATTTGCAACCTTGCCGCATCCTGGTGGGCCCCATAAAATAATATTCGGTATTTCGGTGTTAGTCAACAATTTGTACAGCATACTGTCTTGTCCTATCACATGAGTTTGACCAACGTACGAAATTATATCAGCAGGTCTCATTCTTTCGGACAGAGGAACTGAGTCCTGATGCCTAAGCTCTTTTTTCTGTGAATCAGGTAACATCATAATGCATGATTACAATGAGTACAAAATCATACTTGTTAATGCCAGTTGTTATAACTATACTCACATAAGCCGATTCTTGTGAATCAAACTTCCTATTGGGACTCGAGTTTTCATAAGTTGAGCCAAGAGTACCTTCACTCTTTGAAACTGACAAGGAATGTTTTGGTCTTTTAGCTGCAGGTGAATTTTCCGTGATACTTTTGAAAGATGAGGATCGTTTTGGCGTGGACGCTTCACATGTGCTTGTTGATTCGGTCAGAAAAAGACATTTATTGACGTGAGCCTCGATTAAATTCTGGCTGAATGTTTTATAACAAATCGGACACTCTGTCATATTTTGCTTATTTGCTTCCTGGTTGCTCATCGTGGTGTAATTTTTTTTCGCCCGACAAAAGACAAGACACTGCACGTGTGTAACCCGCGGTGTGTGAATGATAAATTTGCGCCAGATTTGTTATGAGTCACTTGAGTTAAAAATCAGCTGATACTGCCGGTATATACATATGTACATGCTATATGTATATATTTGTGTTGATATATATATCGCGTTTAGTGTGCGGTGTGCGCACTGTGCAAACGCAAACTGCAGGCTGTACAGTGAAATCACAATTGCAACAAATCATTACGTGTTTATTTACAAAGCAAATGTGAATATATTAAATAATTTACTGTAACGGACAACTGTAGCAAACAGTTGATTAGTCATTTATCAATTTTATTGAGCATTGACGTGGAATTTCTATCGAAATCATCTTGAATAGGTTAGCTTTTTTCAAAACATTTGAAAATGTAAACAAAATATTGGACGTTTTAAGTATTCATACATGAACGTAAATACTTTGTTTTCACAATATTGTTAAAATTTAATTTTTAAACAGTGATACGTCATTTGTACCAAAGTTTTTATGCATGAGTTTGAAAATTTTTACCATACAGTGTTTAATTGATATTGCAATTATCTTATTCTTATATTAATATTAACAAGTTTTATATGCTACTCTATTTAGTTACAAGCTATACACTAAAAATGAAGAAGTACAGGAGAAAAGATTCTTCGAGCGAGAATAGCGATGTCGATAGTGAGGAAGAACGGCGAAAAAAGGATATCAAAGAAAGGGATGAATTTGCTAGTCGCCTCAAAGCAAAAGATGACGATAAAGTGCGAAAAATTGCAATGCCAGCAAACTCTGGAGCTGGTAAGATCAATAAAAAAAATTAAGTAGCCTGAAAATTGAGATATTTCAATAAAATATTGTGTTATCTAGCTGAAGCAGCTAAAAGACTCAAAATCATGGAAGAGGCATCCAAGGAAAAACTTTTACCAAAGTTACGTATAGAATCACGCAGAAAATATTTGGAAAAACGTAAAGAAGACAAAGTTGCTGAATTAGAAGCTGACATTGTTGATGATGAGTATTTGTTTGATGAAGAAATGTAAGGACCTTTCTTGTATTTTTGTTCTTGGCAATTCGCAGTTTGCTGAAATTACAATCAACATTTTTACTATCATTTTAGATTGACAGAAAAAGAAAAGAGAGAAAGGGCACACAAAAAAGAATTGCTCAGATTAGCGAAAGAACATGAAAAAGCAAGGGAACTTGAAAAAATTCAGCGTTACCACATGCCACTGGAGAAAGGAAAGCCTCCACCCGATACCGAATATATTGATAAAGAACCACCTCAATCAGAACAGAACAAATGGGAATCTGATCAAATGTCCGCTGCAGTATACAGGTTTGGTGCAAGAGACAGAAAAGGTTCAATAGTTTTCTCTTTTTACTAAATTTCTCTAATGAAACATGAAGCTAATTTTCTTTAATTTCATAGTTGATGAAGAATACGAGCTTCTTCTGGAGGATGAAATTGAATTTGTTCAGTCTCTTCAACTTGCTGGAGATAAGAAAGATAAAAAAGATGTACCTGCACCTACGGAACGCAAGTTAACAAGCATCGAAGAAACTCAAAAGAGTTTACCTGTGTACAAGTACAAAAAAGAACTTATTCAGGCTATCAGAGACCACCAGGTACTCATATTAGTTTTGCTTGGTTCGCAAATTGTTTTAGCATATTTCTGATGTATTTATTTTCTTTGTTTTAGATCCTTATTGTTAGAGGTGAAACTGGATCTGGTAAAACCACTCAAATACCACAGTATCTATACGAAGCTGGATTCACGAAAGATGACAAATTGATTGGCTGCACACAGGTAAGAATTTACACAAGTAAAATGTGATATTGTAGGGATGCATTTTCATCAATGAAATTTTGTACTAATTTTTATAGCCAAGACGAGTTGCAGCCATGTCAGTTGCTGCCCGAGTTGCCCATGAAATGGGAGTTAAGTTAGGAAATGAGGTTGGTTACGCTATTCGATTTGAAGATTGTACATCACATCGCACGCGAATCAAATACATGACAGATGGTACTCTGCACAGGGAATTTCTCAGTGAACCAGATCTCGCATCTTATAGGTATCATTATGCTTTAATTTGTTGGTTTCATAATATATTATACAATACGTATGATAAAAAATAAATATTAGTATTTTTGCTGTAGCGTAATGATTATTGATGAAGCTCACGAAAGAACATTACATACCGATATCCTGTTTGGGTTAATCAAAGATATAGCGCGTTTTCGATCTGATCTGAAACTTATTATTTCGTCTGCTACTCTGGATGCGAGCAAATTTGCTGAATTTTTCGACGAGGCCCCGATTTTCTTAGTTCCCGGAAGGCGATATACCGTTGATATATTTTATACAAAAGCACCCGAAGCCGACTACATCGATGCAGCGGTGGTTACGGTTTTACAAATACACACGACTCAACCTCCAGGAGATGTACTTGTATTTCTTACAGGTATCCAATCATTTTTTAGGCTTATAGTTATATTAACCAATTCGCATTGAAATAGTACTATGGCGTTTGTTTTATAATAGGTCAAGAAGAAATTGAAACTTGCCACGAAATGCTTCAAGATAGGGCTAAAAGATTAGGCAGTAAGGTATCAGAACTCATAATTGTACCTGTGTATGCCAATCTGCCGAGTGAGATGCAGGCTAAAATCTTTTTGCCAACGCCTCCTGGGGCTAGAAAGGTAGAAAAATATATATACATACCTTGATAAAAAAAACCGCTTAATCGATTATAAATATTTATGCCAATACCGTAGGTCGTATTAGCCACAAATATTGCCGAGACCTCTTTAACGATAGACAATATAATTTACGTCATCGACCCTGGATTTGCAAAACAGAATAACTTTAATTCTCGAACAGGAATGGAAAGTTTAATGGTCGTACCTATCAGTAAAGCTTCTGCAAATCAGAGAGCAGGAAGAGCTGGGAGAGTCGCTCCGGGCAAATGTTTTAGACTATACACATCTTGGGCCTATCAATATGAAATGGAAGAAAATACAGTTCCAGAAATTCAACGTATTAATTTAGGTAAAAAATCAGTATACCGTTTATGTTTTCGAGCTGTATTTTTCAATTTCTATTTTCACAGGCAATGCGGTTTTAACTCTGAAAGCCTTGGGCATCAATGATTTGGTCCACTTTGATTTTCTGGATCCACCACCCCACGAAACGTTAATATTGGCGTTAGAACAGCTCTACGCGTTAGGTGCACTCAACCATCGAGGTGAACTCACGAAACTTGGCAGAAGAATGGCCGAGTTTCCAGTCGACCCAATGATGGCAAAAATGTTAATGGCCAGCGAAAAGTATCGTTGCTCTGAAGAAATGGCGACCATTTCTGCTATGCTGTCCGTAAATGGTGCAATATTTTACAGACCAAAAGATAAAATTATTTACGCGGATGCTGCTCGTAAAAATTTCAACGTCCCTGGTGGTGATCACCTTGTTCTTCTCAACGTTTACAATCAGTGGCAGCAAAGCGATTACAGCACGGAATGGTGTTATTCAAATTTCATTCAATACAAGTAGTTTAACTTCTTCCTTGAGATACACATTTTGTGCTTTCACCTTATGCTCTTACATTTAATTTTTTTTTTTATCACCTTAGATCAATGAAAAGGGCTAGAGATGTAAGAGAACAATTGGTAGGGTTGATGCAGCGTGTAGAAATGGATTTAGTTTCTGGCATAAATGAAACCATTAACATGAGAAAGGTAGTTAATTGCGATTTAACTTTCATTCCAATGGCCCAAAGCTTTATCTATAAATTTATTACAGGCAATTACGGCTGGTTACTTTTATCATGTGGCTAAATTATCAAAAGGAGGAAATTATAAAACGGCAAAGCACAATCAAACTGTGTCTATTCATCCTAATAGCTCTCTTTTTCAAGAGTTACCTCGATGGATCTTGTACCACGAGTTGGTATTTACAACAAAAGAGTTTATGCGGCAGGTTTGTAACCAAATTTTATATTTTCATTTCACACAGTTAACTGCTCTCTTTTACACCATGTTTATATGTGTAAACAATTATTTAGGTCACAGAAATCGAATCCAAATGGCTTTTAGAAGTCGCTCCGCATTATTATAAACCCAAAGAGCTTGAAGACTCGACAAACAAAAAAATGCCGAAAGTCGCTGGCCGAGCTCATCTCGATGGAACGAATTAAATATCATGTAAAAAATGTGATGTTTGTACAGTTTTTAAAATTTCACTTTTAAAATCAATTATAATTATAATGCATTTATGCATATGTTGCACATCCATGTGAAATTTTTTACTTATAATACGTAAAGATTTTTCATGTGTAATAGCAAAAAATATTGTAAATAAATTGATTGCGTAAATAATAACTTTATTGAGTATTCACAATAAACATTAAATAAACTTACAGTGATTTACAAATTTCTTTATTGAAAGAAAATGCATGTTGTTTTTGATTTTGATTATCATAATTGCGGTATAAAAAGCTTTACATGCTCCTACCTGATCAGCTTACGCTTACCAAAAGATTAAATTAAATATAATAGTGTATCGCACATAAATGGCATAAATTATTATGCAAAATTTAAACCTAAGTATGAATAATACTAGGATTCCATTGAAAGCGTTTCATTAGATTTGACGAAATCAAAAATGGCTAATAAAAATTCATGCAAATACTTATAATTAAAATAATGAATAGAAACTTTTCAAAACTTGGCACAAAGTGTTGATTCAAAACAAATTAAAATAAAATTAAAAGTAACACCCTAATGATAAAGAAACAGAATTATATTTATAAACTAATAAGAATTTTGAACGCAATTTTATGATTGATATGTATTTTAATCGTAATCCTTAAATCAACTGATATAATATTAGGACTCAACAGTAAATGCCGTGGATCGCGTATTGAGATCTGGTATACTTAAATTCATGAAATTAGAAATAAAAATATTTCATCAATTAATATATATAACGTAGATAGAATGGCTTATTATTTAAATAATTATGCAAGGTTAATGACTTAACGCTGAATACGTTAGGATTATATCAAAAAATGGAGAGAAGACTACTTTTTCCGAGGCTAAGGTTACGAAGTTAGATGGACTAGGACGAGATTTTCACGGAGTAAATTCGCCCGAGGTACGATCTGTTCAAAAAATGGCTACGTATCATACTTCCTTACTTGACGAGTCACTATTCAATTTGTGTTAATTTTTTTTTACATTTGTATAGAAAAGTCTGACATTCCCGAGAAAAAAGAATC